AATCAAGTAATCAAAAATTTTTTTATTTTGAATAATGATTAATCAAGTAATTAAAAAATTTTTTATTTTGATTAATGATTAATCAAGTAATCAAATAATATTAATTTATTATTAATTTTTTGCCGATCTCTGTTCCGGTCACAATGACAGTACATGTATTTAATTTTACATTCGCACATTCTATTGTCACAAGTAATTCTTTGGTCAATCTATCCAATTTCTGTTCTTTAAAATCAAATTCATATATCCTATGACCATCTTATGGTTTAAGCCCTTCTTATAGTTGACTAATTTATTGACTAGAATCTCGCTCTCTTCTTCTTGACTGTTATTTGGACAACGATGACACATTCGGAGATATTATAAGCGCATAATCCCGTGAATCTTGCAGGAATGTATTCCTGCAAGAGATTTCCACTGCGAAGCAAGACAGAGAATAAGTATGTCACCGTAAATATGTATCAAAAATTTGTATAATAGCGAAAAGTGCCAAAACCCGGCGATTAGTTTTTAAGTGTTTATAATTGTGAACCGCAATGAAATTCTACGTTTCTATGTTTTACTAATTAACTTAAATGTACATTGATCCAATGAATAAGGCAGAAGCCGAAACGTCTGGATTTGATTTTAAATAGAATTGTTTTTGGCTACCAATAACTTGCCTTTGGCTCATTTGCCCTCAATTGTCCATTGTTTTAATTTAATTTAGTGAGTTTTAATCGTTATACTATTTTATTTAATAAATATATTTACTTGGAAAAACACTTTGATTTTACTTCTTTTTGATGGTATTATATTTGATTTGATTTTGTAAAATTGCTTTTTTTAATATTGTGTGCACATTGAAGATAATATCAGTTAAATTTTATTTTTGAATTTAATACAAAAGTTTTTTTCGAGATTGTGTTTATATATTTATGATAATACCACTTGGATTTTGTTTTTTTAATTTAATACAATAGTTTTTTTCGAGGTATTAATTACAAAATAATTTTACATAAAAACATAAAAAAATATATTTGGCGTTTTTTTTTACATTTTTAATATCATTCCACGAATTTTTGCTAACGAGTAAGTTTGTAAGTTTTTGTAACATTTATAATAAAATGATTTTGCGTGATCGTGTTATACATTAAAGATAATACCACTTGGATTTTAAAAAGAAGGATGTTAAAAAAGGGCCGATTTTGGCCCAAAAGGTAAGAAAAAACAATAGTGGTTTTTATGAATTTTGATCTCCTGAATACGATAGAACTATTGAAAAGTTTGTAGCGCTTGGGGAATCTTAACAATTGAGCATAAACACGATGACTCGATGAATTCATCGTTCGACCTGCATTGACCATTGACGGAATGGAGCCTAAAGCAATTTATCCTAATTAACTTATTGTTAGTGATTTGCAAAATAAGCAAATTCATTCCGAGTTTAATTTTGCCTTGATGTAGCAATTGCAAAAAGAGTTTCTCGCTCAATAACATACCAATCTGATCGAGCCTTAAAAATTGCGGATCAGCCAATTTTATCATATTCGGAATTGCGAGCGACTTGGTGTCAATTGCTGGCAACACTGGGCAGTTATTTTGTTATTTTGGGTACAACAAGACACAGAGCAATTAACTGATAACTTGACACGCGAGAATTGATGGTAATCTGACAAATGTGATAGATTTTGCATGACATATTGTTTAAACCAAAAGACCAAATGACTCGTTAAATTCGACAAGCTTCACTTTAATTTGATTGCATGTTGATCTAATGACGAAATTTGCTTCACTTGCATTGTCGAGCAAAATACGTAATTGTTGAACTGAGCCATTTGCGTGAATTACATTTGCAACCGCGGTTGATACCGCGGTAGAATATACTTAGCACTCTCCAATTTGAACGCATAATGAATCGTTGGACTGACAGGCGTATCACTTTCTTGGCTGGCTTTGCTCGTTGATGTTTCTTTGATTGACTTATGCGACTCTCCATCAACTGGTTTGTGACTTAAGATGTTGTGTCAACTGTGCACTCTCTGCAAGAACTTGCTCGATACGATTTGACGAAATGGTCATTTTTCAAATAATTGTTGCAAAGCTTTAATCATTTAACTTCTGCTATTCTGTCCTCGATGTTTAGCTTCAAGACTTTTTCGCAAAAATAGATGAAATGTGGGCCATTGCACATGTAGTTCTGTTCGTGTGAGAAGTGGCGATGAGTGTAATTGGTTTGTTGACCTTGACCACCTTTTCGACTCTTTGATGATGTCTCGGTAAGGCTGTCCGATTTTGCCTTGTGCTGAGAATTTGTTTCCTTGACGGGATATTAGATGGCGTCATTCTGTTAAGTAAGTTGACGTTTCCGTTGAAGAAAATTCATCATCATATCCATCGATGCTGTTTCCTTGTTGACCTCAATGAATTCCTCCCAATGCCGTCTTCTGGTCTTGTTTTTTATCATAAATAAGAGTAAGTCGTCCCACGTGTCAATAGGCAAATTTATGCTTTTCAAAACTCTTAAGTGTTTTTGCATGTAATTGACAAAGTTTTGAATTTTAACTAAAGACTCCTTCTCCACTCGTAGCATCTCGAATAGGCATTGAATGTAACGTCTGCGAAGTGTCTTGTCATTATCGAAACGATCCTTTAAGAGGTTCTAGGCAACGTCATAATTTTGCTTTGAAATCTCTGCTTCGATGGTCTTCGCTGCATTTCCTAAAAGTGCACTAACAAGATATTGATGTTTCTGCACCTTCGGCAACTTACTGTCGTGAATCAGTATCCTGAACGAATCAGAGAATTGTTTCCATTCCTCGATCTTGCCGTCGAAAGAAGAAAGGTTTATGAAAGGTAACCTCACACGAGACTTGACGTTCGCAATTAAATGTAGTCCGTTGTCTGATTGATGCACGGAGAATTGATGTAGCAATTCCACTTGCTGCTCGAGCACTCGTTCCAATGCACTCGGCGTGTCAACGCTTGGATTGCCGCTTGCGTTGACTGCTGTCTGCGACTCAAGCTGATCGAGTCAACACAGCTTTGATCTTGTAGTATTGATTTTCGAATTTCTCTTGTTCCGACACATTTTCTGAAGACGATGCATGCTCCTCACTTGCCTCGATCATTTTTTCCATCACACATTGGAACTTGATCGCATCCAATTTTTCAAGACGCACTAACAGATCTTTGCGCGCAGAAGTAATCCTCTTATTTCTGATCTTATCGACATAGCTTGCGATACGTGTAAGCTTCCTCTTGATATAACCTCTTCGATCACAAAATTCCTCTACTCTCATTGTAAATAATAGCTGGTAAACCTAATCGCGACAGACACCTTATCGCACTTACGTGTGACACGCTGAGATCATTTCGTTCTTGCTGAATTGTTTTCTTGCTGTCTAGATTACTGGGTCAGGGCGTGTGTCCAGGCGGGACGCAAATGGGCGGGCCTTCCTATGGTCTCCTTGGCGTGTTGCGTGCATTCTGGGTGAGAGCTCGGAGTGTTCGGGACACAGCTAAACTGTCCATTCCGCGTAGCGAACCATGTGGGCACTGTTGGATTTTTCCATCGCCACTCTCGGGGCAGCTGATTTTCGCGAAAATAATGGACGGTAATGTTGCGTTTGTCTGTTCGGGTCAAGTAGCACATGAACGGTTGCTTCGGTGGCCGCCGCACTTACATTAACTATCTAGACCGACTGCTACATCGAGTCCTCTGTCTATTGTCCAATCTTGAAACAAATTTTGGTGTTTTTTCAACACGCGCGGCTTTGACGCCCATGATACGCCCAGATTGCGTCGCATACGACTTGCAGAAATTCTCGATGTTTTCTCACGCGCACAAAATTGCCTTGAATTTCTAACCGAATTTGATTTTGAATCTTTTGCCAGATCTGGCTCGAAGAGTCATGTATGGGATAGCTATTGAATCTCTCAATTTGCAAATAATGATAACTGTCTATTTTTCATCTATCTGATTTTACAATTCTTACAATAATGCTTTCTTCACTGTCGCCAATTTCTCGTCGCTTCCCGGATCGTTTGCAGCTTCTTCTTGCGCGATTGTTAGTGCCGCACTCTCGATATTTCCTAGAGTCTTTATGTCTTTGACTATATACTAATAAACTGCCAGTTGTCCTTTTTTCACATGACTTTGTAATGAACATCACTCACGCTAAAATGTTAACTAAATGGTAAAAAATCAAAACACGAAGTCACATTTTGATGGTAAGACAGAAAAAAAAAGAGAAATGGAATAACATATGTTGAGCTGTTTTATCACGTTTAATAAAGTGCATCAAATTAATTGTAGTATAAAAAATGTGTATGTATAAATACACAATAACGAAATAAAAACAACAATTGTTTGAACATATACAGGGTGTCTATAAAGTCTGATCCAGGCCTAATATCTCGGAAACTTTAGGTATGGAAAAATGTTTTAGACAAAAGTTATACGAGTAGGATATCAATGGGAACATATGAAAATATAATCTTGACCTTGGGTGACCTCAAGGCTAGATCATTATGACCGATGTTTTCTTAAATGGAACCCCCCTATTTTTTATTGCACATTCTTGTAACTTACCTCGAGATCTTTTTAAAACACTATAATGAAGCCTTTTTTTAATCAGTACTTTTAGAGTTATGAAAATTGAAAGTTACCGCCGGCATTAGCATTATCTAAGGTATCGGTAAACAATAACTAAAATCTTTTAAATGTTGTTCAGAATCATTACCTTGACAATATATATCAAGATCGAGATCATTAATTGTTGCTCTTATTTTCATTTTTGAAAATTATTTTAATTTTTTGAAAAAAGAGAAACAACCTCCAATAGTAATGACCTTGATATAGGTTGTTAAGCTCATGATCCTGAACAATATTCAAAAAATTTTAGCCATTGTTCGGACAACTTGGATAATGCTAATGTCGGCGGTATTGTCCTCATAACTCAAAAAGTACTGATTTAAAAAAGGCTTCATTATAGTGTTTTGAAAAGCTCTCAAAGTAAACTACAAAAATATATAACAATAAATATAATTCGATTTAACCCTTTGCAGCACGCTGGCATTGTGGAATGCCATCTTTTCCATAACCATTTTCTGAATAACTGGGGTAGTTTTTACTCAATTTTTGAAAACTTTTTTTTGTGTTTTGGTATCAGTTATACATTCAAAAATAACAATTGATGTGGAATAATTTGAAATCATAGTTAATTTTGTTTATACAAATAAACAAACGTTGAAAAATTGCAATTTTTCTGGAGAAAATTCATTATCTCCGAAAGTTCTGAGTTTCCACACAAAGATCTTTCCTCAAAAGTTTTTGGGGTCGCTGATTACGAATTAATGGCCAGATTTCTAAAATCCAAGGTGGCGGATCCAATATGGCGAATCCGAAATCGAAAAGCGATGCAAATTTTATGAAACTGTATTTGTGGGGATTCTCGGAGTCATTGATTACGAGTCTGTGATCAGATTCCCGAAATTCAAGATGGCGGATTTAAATTAAAAAAACGATGCAAATCTTATGAAAACGTATATCTGGGGGTTCAGCGATTTTACACTGGATTAGCACTGTTTTTTTAGATTATAGTTACCATATTGGATTCGCCATCTTGAATTTCAGGAATCTGATTACGGATTCGTAATCAGCGACCCCGAGAAGCCCCAGAAATACATTTTCATGACAATATGCATCGTTTTTTAAATTTAGTCATATTGGATCCGCCATCTTGAATTTCGGGAATTTGATCACGGATTCGTAATCAGCGACTCCGAGAACTCTCAGATATACATTTTCATAAAATTCGTATTGTTTTTCGAATTTGGGTCTGCCATATTGGATCCGCCATCTTGGATTTTAGAAATCTGGCCATGGATTCGTAATCAGCGACCGTTGAGGGAAGATCTTTGCGTGGAAACTCTGAGAACTTTCAAAGATAATGAATTTTCTCCAGAAAAATTGCAATTTTTCAACATTTATTTATTTGTATAAACAAAATCACCTATGATTTCGAATTATTGCACATCGATTGTTATTATTGAATGTATAACTGACACCAAAACATAAAAAAAAGTTCGAAAATTGTGTGGAAACTACACCAGTTATTCAAAAAATAATTATGAAAAAGGTAGCATTTCACAATGCCACCGTGCTGGAAGTTAATATTTTTATATGCAGAATAATTGAGAATTGTCGGGGGCAACAAAAGATCGGACCTCGAAATACCTTAAAAGATACCAGTTGTAAGGTGTAAAAAAATTTATTTTACCTTTTTACACCCTACAATTTATATTTTTGGAAAAAGCAAAAGTTGGAAGGTGTAAAAAGATTTATTTTATCTTTTTATATCCTTCAACTTTTGTCTGAAACAATTTTTTATAAAACTTATGTTTTTTTAGATATTTCGAGGTCCAAACTTTTTCGAACACTGTTTGCCTATAGCGATGTAACGATACGCTTCCGATCCTAGACCCATTTGCAAAAAATGATTTTTTTGATGCCTCCGACAATCTCTGAAGTTTGTCAGTTGAATTTTCGAACACCCTGTGTGTGTGCGTGCGTGCGTGCGTGCGTGCGTGCGTGCGTGCGTGCGTGCGTGCGTGCGTGCGTGCGTGCGTGCGTGCGTGCGTGCGTGCGTGCGTGCGTGTGCGTGTGCGTGTGTGCGTGTGTGCGCGTGTGTGTGTGTGGATGGGTGGGTGGGTGGGCAGGCGGGCGGGTGTGTGTGTGTGTGTGTGTGTGTACCAAATTAAACGCTCTATCTGATTTTGTAATAAAACATACCACATTTCGTTTAATAAAATTAAGTGGACCTTTAAATGACCTTGAAAAACACCATATAAGGGCAATTCAAGGTCATAGTGTTATGTCACCCTCGAAACCCTACAATTTTTGTCGGAAACATTTTTCTCTTAAACCTCGCGATTTCCAAATATTTGACAGTCAAATATTTAGAAATTGGGAGGTTTGAGAAAAAAATGTTTCAGATAAAAGTTGTAAGGTTTCGAGGGACAACATAAGATGATAACATTGGTTTGACCCTAAGTGGCGTCGTCAAGGTCAGGACAAGGTCATTTTACATTTTTTTAATGGAATCATTTTTTGTTGCATATTCTTGCAGCTTATTTTAAAAGCTTTCCAAAACACATAGATGAAATGTTTCTTGGTTAAGTAAATCTCGAGTTATAAAGCTTGAAAGTTACAGTACCACCGGCATTAGCATTATCTAAGGTGTCCGATCAATGGTTGAAACCTTTTGAATGTTGTTCAGGATCATTAGCTTGACAACATGTGTCAAGGCCATGATCATTGGAGATTGTTTCTCTTATTCGTCATTTTTGAAAATTTTTATTTTCTGAAAAAAAAAAAAAACATTCTCCAATAATCATGACTTTGACACATGTTGTCAAGCTCATAATCCTGAACAACATTCAAAAGGTTTCAGCCATTGTTCGAACACCTTAGATAATGCTAATGCCGATAGTACTGTAACTTTTAAGCTTTATAATTGAAGATTTACTTAATCAAAAAACATTTTACCTATGTGTTTTGGAAAGCTTCCAAAATGAGCTACAAGAATATGCAACGAAAAATGCTTTCATTAAAAAAATTCAAAGTAACCTTGTCCTAACGACGCCACTCAGTGTCAAACCAATGTTATCATCTTATGTCCTCCTCAAAGTTCCAAAACTTTTGTCTGAAACATTTTTCCCTAAAATGCACTGTTCAAAAGATATTTGAAGTGATCGATTAAAATGGGACACCCTGTATACTTTCCGATTCAGTTTAGACCATTCTATTTGCATATGAGCATTGTCCTAAGTATTCTAAAATACTCTGTGTGTATGTGCGTGCGTGCGTGCGTGTGAAGACATGTGCGAAGCTGTATCTTTCTCATGTCCTTGTCGTGAGCCTCGTTAGTGCCAAAAAAAACACCAATGTTGAAATGAGTATAACTCTGTGAAAAAAAATTGTAGAGACCTCAATGACCTCGCGTTCTTCTCGTCTTGGAAAGTCTTCTGGAAACAAGCCCTCATTCGACCCCACATGTCACTTAAGATTTTCAATCCCTTTCCCCCTCGTCTCTCTTGAAGGCTTGAAGTGGGTATTTTCAAGATTAAATGATAGATTACATTTTGCCAGTGTAAACCTATAAATTTCAATCCAATATCTCGAACCGTTCAGAAATTATTTAGGTGGCCCCGAACTTTTGGCAGTCTCTGTATATTGGTTAACGCAATGTTATCACCGCTTTGGTATTTGAATGATAGCCCGTCCACTCGGCAAGCAAAGAGATCATTTGCATTACTTGGTTATATCTGAAATATATTTTCACTGAAAAAGCTGTCTGATATGTTCACCAAAGATTTAATAAAAAACCACTTTGAGTATTTACGTTATCAACTTAATATTCTTAATATAAAAATGCAAATAGTTAGAGAGAATAGTGTTAGATAGTATATTGTTTGCCATACTTCATTTATATCGATGATTAAATTTAATCTTCAATGTTTACACAAGATAACCAGAGCAATATCCAGTGCACCGAGTATAATCAAGTATGCGTATCGCGCTTTCAGTTGCGACCATTAGAAAATTTGCAAGTACTCTACACCTAGTTAATCTCTTGTGTATTTATTCGTACAATTCACGTTGAATAAACACAGTTCTTTGTCATAATCACGAGCATTTTATTTCAATCAAGACCATAATTACACAAAAATCTGGCAGAAAATTGCATCTAATACTGATTACTAATTTATATAATAAGATATTAATTATGTTACAGAAAATAGCAGTACTGAAATTGGGGTACAGCAACAATCACAACAGCAGCAACATCAACAACAATATGGAGAAGTAAATCAATTAGGCGGTGTATTCGTCAATGGAAGACCACTTCCTAATGCTGTCAGATTGAGAATAGTTGAGCTTGCACAATTGGGTATAAGACCATGCGATATCTCGCGACAATTACGCGTCAGTCACGGGTGTGTCAGTAAAATACTAGCACGCTATCACGAAACGGGTAGTATTCTGCCGGGCGCAATTGGTGGCAGCAAACCACGTGTGACTACACCAAAAGTTGTGCAATATATTAAACAGTTAAAATTAAAAGATCCAGGAATTTTTGCTTGGGAAATCAGAGATCGACTGTTATCTGATGGTGTTTGCGACAAATATAATGTTCCATCAGTGTCCAGTATATCAAGGATATTAAGAAATAAAGTTGGCACAACGACAACTATGCATCATCATTCACATCACTCAGCTCATCATCATCACCATCATCATCACCATCTTTATGCAGCCGCAGCAGCGGCTGGTGCAGCCCTTTGTCCAGTGCCGTATCCACCGACATCTTATCATCCGACAGCGCCGCCTTCCATTCCACATCATCATCATCATCAAGGTTAGTATTTTGTGTATGTTAATTTGAAGTATAAAGATTCCAAATGAGAAATTTGTTTACATGTTTTTATTAATTTCTTTTCTGTAAATTGATAAAGACTAAAGAATAATTTAGTCCAAATGTTAAATTTATATAAGATAATTTAAAATACTAATTCAATTTTATCTTATCCAACTATTATATATCTTTATAAAAAGATTGAAAATAAGTTTATTTTATTTTCTAAAATTAATATTAAATATTCATGTATACAAAGTATTTTATCACTACGTAGTTGAGTACTATTTAAAAACAAATTTCTAATGCAATTTAAAGTCAATTTTTTTTAATCCAAATGCCAAAATAGTAATAACTTTTTAAATTTATTTATATTTTTAATATTAAACATGTTTGTAACTATGGTATAAATATAAGGGTATACTCTTGCGTATGGTAAAGCCAGACAACCAATGAGAATTGTAACTTGATACGTTACCATTACATGGCAAATTCAAACGCTTAAAAATGAAATAAATGATGGTAATGTCAATACATTAAGGAATAAGCAAAACGATTTTACGAGAATAATAAGAAATAAATATTAATGTGTCATATCAGTTTATATATTAACTGAAGCTAAAATAAATATTGGAAACATGCAATTAATTGTTAATTATAAAATTAAATATGTTAATAAATTCAGCAGAAGGGGCATTTATGTAATTATTAGTTACTTAATCAAAAATAAAATTTTAAATTTGTAATAATGTCTGAAATAAAATAATACATTAAAAAATAATTAGCGATTAATGTGTAATTTATTTTTATTGTAATGAATGCTGCCCATCTTTGGATAGTTGATATTATTTTTAAAATTAAATAAAAATTAGTATTAATATATGTATTATCTATACATGTAATGATTATATAATTGTTTTTCGTGCATAAAAGTAACGGAGTAATTTCAAATAAATATAGCCACAAATGATCAATTGACGATTATTGTGTTCATAATCTTTATTATTGTATTGTTTCCACACATGTAATTTTTGTAAAACGAACAAATGTATTATGTAAGTAAATGAAATTAAGTAAACTGAATTAAATCAACTGAAATGAAAGAAATAATGAAATTACAGCACCTGAAAAATTATGAAAGTTTTTGGAAAGGAAAAGAAAACCGTAGTATAAAATTATATACAAAAACTCAGTTTAATTATTTACGAATTTAGACACTTTCTTCTTGTTTTTTCTAGTTCTATTTTGTAACAATATTTTACGGTTAATTTCTCGTACTCGAACGTACGTTCACGTCCTTACCAGGCATAAAATTACCTCTGTAAAATTTTAATACACACTGTATACAATAATTATTTTCGAGAGAACATATAAAATTTAAACGAGCATGTGCGCCCGTAATACCGTAATACCAAACGGCTCCAAGCGTCCGCCGTCCGGCCGTCTGGCAGCCATATTTTATCCGACTGAAATATGCCGGACGTTACCGAGACTGCACGAATGTGACGTAGGCAAGCTGCTGCGCACGAACCTTCTAAATTCGTCCACCGGATGAACATACTCTTGTTTCTACCATGATTGAAACAAAATGATAAAAGCGTTGAGACATTTAAATGACATTCGCACCGCTGCAAATATTAAGACGCGCAGTCAGTCATTGCGATTGATTTCAATGAAAAATTCGGTGTGAAAAATGGAACATTTTTTCTAGCTGCAACTCCATTTGACTA